AATCATGGAGAAGCCCACAGGCGTACCTATCTACTCGACTTTACATCAACCTCTGAATTACCTACCCCCTAGGACTATACTGCTTACATAATTCAGGAAATCCAAGTAGGATAGACCTAGAAAATGCTAATGTGTATAGTCTGTAAAGGAATCCCCTACGTTCCTGCCTGTCATAGCAACAGCAAAATTGGCTGTTGAAAATGTTTGAAGGATCTTCAATCACTGTAGTTAGGGACTTCATGCTTTGCAACACCTTTGGGAACAATCACCCGTTTATATCGTATGGGTTGGTGGCTAAAGTACTTGCCACGAGAGTGTGAGGACTGGAATTCTGACCTTCGGAACCCATTAAAGTTGTATGAGGTGTCACGTGTCTGTAATCTCAGCGTGCCTTTGAGGAGACCGCAGGTGGAGAAGCTTGCCAGCTAGCAATGCATGACAGGAGGCCCTGCCCCAACCAAGGTAAGAAGGAGACCAGCACCCAAGGTTGTCCTCTGACCTTCACTTGTGAGTTGCTCACACATTTCCCCTGTGCGGGACTCCAGACCAGTGGTGGGAGATGCAGAATAAGTAGTTTCTGTCCAGATGGTTCCTAAAATGACTCCTGGGGCTAATGATCTGTTTGTCTCTGAGTTATCATCTCTGTAATCAGACTTTAACACAGCCATGTTTTACCTTCATTCTTTGGGTTTTGCATCTGAACGTTCGCCTCTGAGTTTCCAGTGATTTGTCACCATTGTAAGATGGTGAGCGGAAACGATGTGAAAACCTATTGCCTTTCATCCATGTGGGAAGCTGTATAGACAAATAAGGCCCCCTTCCCAAAGTTATCTGTGCCTGTTCCCTGGTTCTTCTAAATAGGTTGAATCATACGGCAAAGGGACCTTTACAGGGCCGTGATGCTTTGAGACATTAAGAAGAAAAGATTCTGAGTTATTCAGTGGACTCGATCTTACCTCATAAACTCATAGGAAACCCTATCAGCACTTCTGTCCCCCGCCTTCAAGACAACCTTATTTTAAGACGTTGGAAGGCTTGGCTGGCTCCTCCAGTGACTTTAGACTAAGACGTTGCTCCTTCTGTGGCTTCTTGTTCCCACTTGTTAATTATACTTTTCAGTTTTACCTCAAATTGTATTCATCTGTTTGCCTCTACATGAAAGAAACATTAGGCAACAAGAATCAGGAGAGACGGGCTCCTTTGAGGAGAGAGGCTCTTCTCAGAATTCCTGAAGCTGTGAAACCACAAGCCCAGCTGGACTTTCACAGGGCGGAGCTTGTGGCCAGGACCTGTCGGGACCGGCTTCTCAGGCAGCTCTCTGCCTTGCTTATCAGAATGATACTCGTATTTTTCCTGGATTGCTCACTCACATCTGACCTTTTTCAACAGTTGTAGGTTGTTGTCCAAACCTGTGCTGGGTAGATCTCTCTGAGGAAGTGGTTTCCACCTACAAATGATGACTGCGATGAACTTGGAAAATAGCAAGGGTGATTATAAACCAGAGGCCCTCGGAGACTCCAAGTTTATAATCCACCAAGCTGGAGCTCCAGTGCTGCCCTGCATTTCCTCAGAGTTTGCTCATTAACGAGAGCTGATGGCGAAGAACACTGGATCCAGTCACCCCTTTGAAGACAGAGAGCCTCAAACTTCTGTACACACGTCTGGGTCAAATTGTACTGTCATCTTGTTTCCATGCAAAGCCAGCCGACTTGTCTTGGACCTATATGGGGAGCAGATATCTGGAGTGCACATTGTAGACAGGATACCAACACACACAGCAGCCAGTACATGAATGCGTGGGTGTCAAGTTCAATAACGACTAACGTATGCATAGTCCCAAAGCTCAAGTGAAAATGTGACTACGGGTCAGGGCATTTGAGGGTAGCAAGTGACTGGCCAACCCCATTTGCCGGAATTTTGAAGCATTGTAGAAAAGAGATATTTGACTTCATCCACCTTCTCCAGCTGTGTTTGAAGGACCTGAGCCAAAGCACAGGATATTTTCACTGTAAGGATTTCGGATGATCATCTGGACTAAAAGTACAGAACACCTCCGTGCCATCCCAGGTCATTGACCCGGCTGTTCGCTTTGGTTGGATTTCCACCGGCCTCTTGGGGCTCTGGTTAGTTAACAAGCCCTTGTGGTCAGATTTTCCAGAAGTCGCCACAGCTTCCTTCCAGCTTATCACAGATAAATCACTCAGTTGTCCACATTTTAAATTTCAGCACATACAGTATCTTGTATTGGCTTTTCCCACCACCGCCCATATGAATTTTTATTGTTTACTCTTTTTAAATGTGTGTCAAGATATATTGTTGCTATAGACATGCTTATTTGCACCATCTGTTCCAGACTATAAGAGAAAGATCCTCAGGACAGAGGTGAAAAAGAACAGGAAGCCCATTTGGACTCTGGGATTCTGGGTTTAAATCTCTCTGTAGCGCTGAGTGCTGGGTGACTATAGAATTCCGCTTTACGCCTATCCTCATCTGTAAAGTAGGAGCCGTCATATCTAGTCGTGGCAAAGGAGCCTTTGAAATCTGTCTCCACCTCCATGCTTTGCTCAGCCAGCCTTTCTCTACCTTCTCGTCTACCCGTCACCAACTGTTGCTTTTGCTCTATCCAGCCACCCTGCTCTAAGCTGCGTTCCTCAGTCGCGCCCAGCAGCCTCTCTCTATCAAGGGCATTTGCCCCTCCCCTTTCTCCTCTCCCCAGGTACCCACCTAATTTGCTCTCCCATGTCCTCAGGTGAGTGGTTCCAGCTGAAATCTTTCCTGGCCATCTGCATTATGTGGCCAACACTGCCCTGCCATCCCCGCAGCACGCTTCCTAGAGCTTTCCCTCTTGGGTGCTTCATAGACGCCACCCACTCTTCCAACTGCCTGGCACAGCACATCTTTATTTTACAGACTACCCTCACCCCCACTGACTGCATAAAGAGTTGGGGCTGCCTCTTTTGCTCATTACTGCATCCACAGCACTAGAAAAAGAAAATAATAATGGTAACAGGACAAAAGAGGATAATGGGGAATGAATATGATCAAAATATATTGCCATGTATGAAACTGTCATAACAAAATCCATTGTGATTAATATAGATGCAAATTAAAGTTTTCAAAATAAAATGCTGAAAGAATGGCTAAGGAAACTTATATAAAATGCTAAAGTCCTGCACAGGAGTTAGCATGTTGCTGCAAAATGCAGACTATTTAAGGGGCAATCATAGGAAAGTGACATTATAGTTATCTTCCTTGTTGATTTAAATTTTTTTAATTGAGTTCTACATTTTTCTATACTCCCCTCCCTTCCTCTCCCCTCCCCATGCTCCCAGTTTGCTCAGATCTTGTCTTTTGCTACTTCCCATGTAGATTAGATCTATGTAAGTCTCTCTTAGTGTCCTCATTGTTGTCTAAATTCTCTGGGATTGTGATTTGTAGGCTGGCTTTCTTTGCTTTATGTTTAAAAACCACCTATGAGTGAGTACATGTGAAAATTGTCTTTCTGTGTCTGGGTTACCTCACTCAAAATAATGTTTTCTAGCTCCAGCCATTTTCCTGCAAAATTCAAGATGTCGTTATTTTTTTCTGCTGTGTAGTGTAACATGAGGGCCTGCTGCTTGTTGGGGTTTCTGTCTGCCCAGTTCCCACAGCCATTTAGCCCCAAAGAATAACACAGAAGTCTCCATAAGATTATTAGCAAATTGGCCCATTAGCTTAGGCTTCTTATTAGCTCTTGTAGCTTATATTAGCCCATTATTCTTATCTATGTTAGCCATGTGGCTCAGTACCTTTTTCAGCAGGGCAGGACACATTCTGCTTCTTTGGTGATCTGGGCAGGAGTGCAAGAGAGCTTCCTTCTTCCCAGAATACTCCTGTTCTCATCGCCCTGCCTCTACTTCCTGTCTGGTTGACCCACCTATACTTCCTGCCTGGCCAATCAGCGTTTTTTTAAAACTTGATTGACAGAATATAAACAATTATCCAGCACCAGTGTAGTACTCCATTGTATAAATGTACCACATTTTCCTTATCCATTCTTCGGTGGAGGGGCATTGGGGTTGTTTGGTGATTTAAAATTGAAACTCGCTTTATGACTTAGACTCTCAACTCCACTCTGAAGCCATGTGTTTTGTACAGTTTAAAGGGTAATCTAAGGCAGCCATGTTTGTAGTTTTTGAATGAGTGCATTTGTTAAGTATAAGGTGATCCAAAGTCAAAGAATAAAGAGTGATAGAGAGACAGTAAGATATCGTGAAATGAGGCTCTAAGCAAAGCTCTAGCAGAAACCCACTGAGGGAGCCCCTGACTTAAGGCAGCCAGCTGGGGTTCCTAACTGAGAGGTCGGGACAGAGCGGAGCGTCTCTCCAGCAAGGCTTCCGAGTGAATGAGTAACAGCAGAGAGGTAGCATCATCAACTGGGGTTTCCACGTTTAGCAGAAATTAGTGGGGGAAGCCCATTTAAGGCTGCTAGCTTGAGTTTCCGATTGAGAAGTCCAGGCAGGGCAGAGCTTCTTCATGCGAGGTTTCCTCGCAAAACAACGAAGAGCAGCAGAGAGAGGCATCCTCGAGTCAGTGGTTCCCAGCATCCAGCAGAAGCGGGCTAAGGAAATCGAGATGAGCAGTTGGAGGTCCTATTGCGTGTTCCCTCCGAGGAAGAATTGTGGTTTCTCTTTCATGTTGTAGGCACTTTTGTACTACCGGATAAACTATGGTAACACCTGTTGGAAGTGGTTTACCTTCTAGCTGTTCCCAAAGCTCTTCCGGTTTGACTTGGGCTTCCTTGCTGTCACCTTCCCTCCCCAGCACAGAATTAGTCTATCCCAGACCTTGGAAGACATTGTGAGACAAACTTGGATCAGAAATGGGAGGGAGAAGGTAACCTTCCATCCAGAGCCAATTTCTCAGTGATTTACCAATATAACATACATTATACCATGAAAGAAAGTACTATCTTATATCTAAGGGATCAGACTTCAATCACCTTAAAAGTAGTGACCTACCTCTTCAGTAAGGAACTCAAGGCGGCTCTGTGATTCAAGACAGAGTTGACAAGATGGGTAATGGAGGGGAGGACAGTATTGACTCTCTGAGTCACATCCCATAGACTGGCCACTGTATGGGATGCTATCACAAGATCTGGATTCAGTTCCTCATTCTATTTAATAACAGAGGGGAGTAAAATTTTCCCTTCCTCAATCTCGGGTTCTCTTCCTTTCAGTTCATGTAAAAATAACCATCGTTTCCCAATGCTTTAGCTTCATGTGCAAGCCTCATTTCTAAGAAACAAGGCCATGACCCTGAAATTTTGCAAACTATTCATCTCTATGCCGGGGCGGGAGGTTGTTATTATTGTTTAGTGAGAAATGTAGACATTACCCGTTCCCTTGACCTCAGAAGTATGCCTGCCACTTAATCATTTGTTCAAGATTTTTACTTTGAGGTGTTAGGTTCTATTTGGCAAGTTTGTTCCCAGTCTGTGACTTTCTACACTTCAAGCTTTGATAGCTGTCTGGCACGCTCCCTTCCATAGTCAGATGGTCCTCCAGAGACTCAAGCTGCATCCCAGACGGTGATCTCACTCAGCGATGCAACCTGAGAGACAAGAAGAAAAGTCCTTTGACTCTGCTGAACTGGAGGAAAGCAACTTCTGGAAACGCAGGCTATTTTCATCCATGTGTCCTCTTCTTTCTACAGGCCCGTGCCCTCTGTCTGCCCCCACCTATCTCTACTAGGAACCCATCTTATGGTTTCACCCAAGACACAGAGGAAGGGAAGATGGGTGGGTGGGCTTTCTCAGAGTTTTGTGAAAGGCTAAGTGAAATGATATCACTCTTGCTGGCCATCCAAGCAAGGTCTCGGGCTGTCTTCACTCCTGGTGGCTTATCTGCATCATTGACCCAATTACTTCACAAGGAAGACCGTTTGCTTAGACACTTGAGAAACTGGAGACCCCTTCGCTTCCATGAGACTTTTGGCCAGTCCTAAAATTATTAGAGTTAACTATGAATAGCCATTATCCAGATTCCTACTGGGGCCCATAATATTAAGACCAATAATTCTGAAATTATAATAACAAGAATAATAACCAGTAATAACAAATAGAGATTCTGTTTTTGATGAAAACATTCCACTGGGTCCTGGGGTGATAGGAACACAATGTGGAAAACAGATGTGTTGACTGCTATTACCTTCCTGGAGTTAGTATCTGAGACCCCAATACATATCAATAGGACAGGGGTTCCTGAAAAAGACTTAGCAACATTTGACCCAATAACTAATTCTTTCTCTAAAAACAGAACTTTGGGGATGTGCAAAATTCAGAAAGCCATGAGTGGTGAGTGCTTCCTGAAAGTGCTGGGTTATGCTTTTCTAGAATCATTTACTATGTTTCCTTCTGATTTTCTTAGACCTTGGATCTTCTCCCCCAGGCAGCTGTAGGCACAGCTTTAACAAAGGCCCCAGCGGCCAGAAGGATAGCACATCTGGCCCTGCCATTGTCCAGGGATGGCTCCACAGCTTTCTCTGGGTGATCTTCCTCTTTGCAGTGAACACAGCAAGACTGTCACTTTGTAAATGACAGGACTAATACACAAACAGATCAAGATCATATGTAGGTCACTTGTTAGCGGGAGCCAAACAGTCTTCAAACTACCCAACAATGCCTCAAAGTCCTGCTCACACTTGACAGAGAGTCTTGGTCTTTTATTCGACTCACATATTTCTTGGAAAAGTATTTTTCTACTCAGCCTGACTGATTTTCTGCTTCACACTGTGCTCATTTGCTTGCTAGAGAGCATCTACCTTGCATCTCATTTCTGCTCCATCCTATACTCTGTGAGGCAGCACCCCAGCTAACTCCAGAAAGCAACCAACCCAAGTCTGTGTTCTATAAGACTTTGGCTAAAGGTTTAGGACAGTGTGAAGCTTTAATATGGCAGCATCATTACAAAGCTGGATGTCTCAGTGGGTAGAGGCACTTACTGTCAAGTTTGACGACCTCAGTTCAATACCCATGACTACTTCTTGGAAGAAGACAACCCAAGTACTGAAAGTTGTCTTCTGATCTCTCTGTATATGTCATAGCACATGTATGCCAACACACACATACACACCATATATACATGCATACATACATACATGTAATAATATTCTAGTGGAGAAAAGAGTATGTGTGAACATACGAAGTTCTTAGGCTAACCATACCCTTCTCCATGACTGTGTTTCCCAGCCTATACCTAACTTTCTCCAGACTCTTCCTGGCTCACCGGTGCCAACAGCTCCAGGTTTCTGTTACCTTCTTGAGCACTGAAGGCTTAGCAATCAGTGTTAACATCTGGTCTTCATAGTCTTTCCCAATATGTCCAAGAAGGCTGGTTTTTCAGGACAACAGGTTATCTGCTGCAGAGAAGGGTTGCAGTTCTCAGTCCGGAGGCAAAAGTGGCTGCTAATGGCTATGGTCTCTAATAACACTGTTTATAACATCTTATTGCACTGTGTTTGAAAACTGTATCTTTATTTTTAAATTTTTATTAGCAATGCATATTCTTTGCAGAAAATTATATGTTTAGTACAGTATCTTCATACTTTGCCCACCTTCATCTGTCGTTCACCTCCCCACTTCCAACTGGCCTTCTTCTTTACAAGCAGTTCCCCTTTTACTTTAGAGTAACATGCATACACACACACACACACACACAAATCTATATTTCACATGTAAAAGAAAATATGATGTTTGTCTTTCTGAGTCTGACTTATTTAATTTAACATAATCTACAGTGCCATACACAAAATGACATAATTGTGTGTGTGTGTGTGTGTGTGTGTGTATGTGTGTGTGTGTGTTCTTGTTCCTTCCACCACATGTGTTCCGGAACCAACTCAGGCTATCAGGCTTGAAAGCTAGCAACTTTATCTGCTAAGCCATCTCTCTGACTCCTTAAGGAGTCCTTATTATAGTAAAATCTGATTTCCAACACAAGTTCAAGACCTGCCTAAGCTATAGAGCTAGTTCAAGGTCAACCTGGCAATTTAATAAGATTCTGTCTTAAAAGAGGAATAGGACTGGGAATGTAACTCAGTGGTAAAGAGCTTGGCTCAAATATATGAGATTATGGGCTCAATTCTTAGTATAGGGAGGCCAAAAATAGATAAGTAAAAAACAAAAAACAACTCCCTAAATTATGCCTTATGTCTTATTGTTAAAAATGTGAAACATATTTTATTAAGATTTTATTTATTTATTATGTATACAGTGTTCTGCCTGCATGTCTGCCTGCAGACCAGCAAAGGGCGCTGTGTCTCATTATAGACAGTTGAAGTCACTATGTGGGTGTTGGGAATTGAACTCAGGACCTCTGAAAGAGCAGTTAGTGCTCTTAACCACTAATCCATCTCTCCAGACCGCAGAAACATGTTTAAACATTTAAACACACACACAAAATGTAACCAACAAATGGACAAATGAATGGTGTGCATCAAGAGATACTGGCTGAAGAAAACGCACATGTGTGCATGCATACACACATATATACACACACAATTGTGTATAGAATACATATATGCACAAATGAAATTGTGCCATTTGCATGGATAGAACTGTAGATCATCATGTTAAATGAAATAATCCAGGCTCAGGAAGACAAAGGTCACATTTTCTGTCAATATATGGAATTTACATTCAGGTATAGGTGGCAGGAGGGGAACTCCTCTCAAGCCCCCAACCAAACACTCTCATCAAGAGAAGCTTGGGTTAGGGAGATTATTGACTTATAGCCCGGAGCCCAGAGTCTGTCTCAAGGAACTCAAAAGCATGAAGGGCTTTTTTAAAGATGAAAAGGAGGAAGGAGAGAATAAGGAGCAAAATTGTACATGAAATGACATCTTCATCATCATCAAAGGTACGTGACTCTTTTATTTATATTTTTCTTTTCTGTGGTCTGTATTTCAAGAGACTGTTTTCTACTGGAGAAGGAACCACAAGCACATTCCTTTTCTTCAAGCCAAACACCACAGTGATTTCCATGCTTGGGGGCAGCAGCTGCACCAGCTTGAAGAATACGGAGGGGCAATACTCACTGCGACATAAGTGACATAATCGGAGGGTCACCAGACCTAGGGGTTAACTTCCTAGTTGTTCACTTGTGGCTCCTTTTAGAATGGAAGATGCTGAGCAAAGGGAAGGAAAGGTCTCACAAAGGTCAAAGGGAGACGACCTAACTCTTCAGAGGGAAGCAGACAGTTGTAATTCTTTAGGGGGAAGCTGCCGGAGAGCCACCCTTAGGACTTCTCAATTCTTTTGGGGAATATTAATTTCAGGTGTGTGACTTTTGTTTATGCTGCATTTGTTTATCTCTGTGAGACTGTGCTGTTGTGCCTGTCTAAAACCACCTGATCATCCTAATAAAGAACTTAAGGCCAACAGCGAGGCAGGAGCAAGGATAGGCGGGGCTGGCAGACAGAGAGCATAAATAGAAGGAGAAATCTGGGCGGAGAGAAGCAGGGAGCAAGGAGAGAACAAGGAGGGGAGGACATCAGGGGCCAATCACCCAGCTACACAGCAGTCAGGGAGAAAGAAGCAAAGAAAGGTATACACAAATAGAGAAAGATAAAAGCCCAGAGGCAAATTAGGTTTAATTAGGATAAATTAGGTTAAGAAAAGCTGACAAGAAATAAGCCACGCTAAGGCTGGGCATTCGTAACTACTTTGTATGTGATTTATTTGGGAACTGGGTGGTGAGTCCCTGCCCCCACAAAGGCCAAAAGAGTAAAACATCACACAACACAGTTCCAATAACCCACCAGGATCTTTCCCATACTGGCACTTTTGCCAGCACCCACTCCCAGCTCCACTACCTAGAACAGACTTGCCCCTACACTGGACATGGCTAGAACTCTCTTTCCTTCGGGTCCTAGCCTGAGCACCCTGTCTTTCTGGTCACCCTTCAGTCTCATTTACCACATAGGTGATACCAGCATTCGCCCTCCTTAGATTTCTTTTTTCTCCCTTTGTAAAAAAGCACTTGTATCTCTGATTGTCTATCTGTCTGTTGTCTTTCTCATCATACCAAGAGTTTGAAAATGTTTTCAGAAGTTGATTATTTG